AGTAGTGACATTTTCATTCATTCAATTAACTTTCTTTTATGTTCATTTGAAAACAATGTACTGGACCATAGGATAGTATGAGGATAGCTCTTTAGCTCTTTTCTATTAATATATATTTCAAATCTCCTGGAATTGGTTATCATTTTGCTTCCAGGTTTTTGATGCCCTGATGCCTTTGTTCAAAGTCAGCAGTATTATCAACCACATGATAAATTGATTTCTCACACACATTTTCCCACCTCTGACAAATCATCTGTTTTAAATATATCGCAATAAGATCTGTGTGTTGGCTAGTAAAACTGTATTCATGTGGCACTGGTGGATATTCTTTATCCTCTAGTGTACAAGACACAAAATCAATGAAATTTCCATCATTATCACCAGAATTATTCTCAGAAAACCAATTCTAAGATCAAGAAGATAGCTCCGTGCTCTGCATCCTTGCAAGGATGTATACTGAACATTTGTTAGATGACCAATCTATCCATTTGATTCAGATTATAGGCCATATGTATTTCTCTGGGGATTGATAGTGTGGATGTCATTTGGGATGACCTTCTGGGTGCTTCTGTTATCCCCACTCGGAAAAGATGGATTAAAGAAAAGATGATAGCTACATCCAGTTTCTTCTGTGTCCTCTGCAGATTAACTTTTCTACTCTCTCCTCCCTGAATTTATAAAAATCCACAGAGGAAAACTAGACTGTAGCACTGAAATCCCAACTGAATTAATCTTTGCTAAGTGCTGAAAATTGTTTATCATGGGAAATATTCTCCATCTGTGCTGCAATTGAGGGTTTAAAATAAACATTGTTGTTTGATTTTATACACATGCCACAATAAAAACATAGAAACAATATTTTAAGTGACATATGAGAATAAGAACACACAGAATAACTTGTGAAAAAGTAAAAGCTTAAAATGGGCGCTCAATATGTCATACAGCGTCCTAATTGACGTAAGACACACATCTGACACTGAAATTTCATTATCTGTGTCACTGTGATCAACTCCAAGGAAGAGAACAATGAGCACACTTCCTAAAGAGACCATGTAACTTCTGCCCCTTTTTTCCCCCCTCTACCCAGAAAGTAAGTTGTAGGGAAGTCAAGGAAGCCTCAGCCAAAATGGGTGAAGAGAAGGTTCCTGGTGAGATCTATTCATTAAATAAAACATAAAAGGTAATTCCTTAAACGATTTGTAGATCATAATATTTTCAAAGATCAAACAAAGGGTAGAAGCATGAAATTTTTGGTTAGGATGTACTTAACAAATGCCTAAGTAAAGTTTATTTAAGTGTATATAAACTGTTTTTTAATTGTTTATTCATTTATTCATATTTGTATTCATTGTTTGGGCCATCTCTCCCCCTTGCTCCCTATCCCTCTTCCCCTTTTCCCCATTGCCTTCACTTCCAGGCAGAGCCTGTTCTGCCCTCTTCTCCAATTTTGTTGAAGAGAAAACATAAGAGATAATAAGAAAGACAGTATTTTTGCTAACTTGAGATAAAGATAGCTATACAGAGAGATTCCTAGCATTGCTTCCATGCACATATGTATTACAACCTGAATTGGTTCATCTCTACCAGACCTCTTCACTACTTCCTAGTCCCCTTCCCATAGTGGCCTCTGTCAGTTTAAGATTACTCACTCTTCTACAGTGAGCACATCAAACGCTTTCAAGTTTATATTTCCTTCCCTTTCCTTATTCCTCCTGTATGCATTCTTCCCTTAGTGTGTGACCCATGTCCAGTAATTTTGCTGCATTTATAAATATATACAAACTATTTTGAATAGCTAAAAATCATCCACCCGTTCCTTTTTATTTTTAAATCAGCCATAACCTCATTTCTTATATATATATTTTTTTTTTTCTGAAACTATCAGTTCCTAGTTTAAATTTGAGGTAAGAATAGAAAATATTTCCTTTAATTAAAGGAAAACTTCCTTTAATTATCAAAACTTCCTGGCAAAAATTTTTCATATAAAATTATCTGGTGAAATCCTATCTAGTTAAGTAGTACATAAATCCTGCTCTAGAATCTTAAGTCTTTCTTCCATGTTCAACTTCTTTTAAAAAACATGGGTACATATTAATACAATATGGCATTCTTCTTTATGTTACTAGTTCATATAAATAGAAAAAAACTATCATTTTCAACTGTTTGGGTCTTACTGAGATTTATTTGGAAAAAAATACTGTATATGTTGAAATTTATTATTTCCAAAAAAGTGTATTAAAGCCAATGAATCAGTTAATTTATTTGAATTTTTAACTTTGAAAATTTTGTAAAGATTTTGTAAGTCAGGAATTTTAAAATTAGTTTGGAAACTCATGAGATATATTCTCTATCAGTGCTATATTACATTAATACCACTAAAATAATACATTAGCTTATTTGCAACTAGTTCTTTTTACAATACTAAGATAAATAAAAAATATTTTAACAAACCAAGTAGTGATTTGTAGTAAAAGATGGATTAAGTTGTATGAAAATTTTTAAAGTCAGAGTAAATTAAAAACCATCTCCAGTTTGCTACTACTAACTATGATTAGGGTTATTTAAGTTTTACCTACAATGAATCAACTCTGTCATGGCAGGATTCATAGCTAACACATCTTTTATATTTACCTATTCCCTGAGGATCTAGGACTATACTTTTCATATAGCAGGCATTTACTAAATGTTGAATGAATTATTATGAATTTAGTGTTCCTTTAATAAAATTAAGAGCTCTGGGAAAGGGCAATAGTTTACATCTCTGCATTAGCTGACTTTCTCTCTGACCATCTTCCAAATTCTAATTATTCTGTATTTTTCTACATTAGCACTTAATGAAATTAACCAAGTGCACACATTAAATATCATTTCATAGCAACAAGCCCTTAAAAACGTTTTGCTTGTCAGGCAGTATCACCCATATTCCATTCCTCTTTACTCTCCAGAGTCTCTTCATTTGGTAATTTTGTGGTACTTGCCTGACAATCACTTGTTGTCATTGTTGCTATTATTATTCCTTGCTTATTATTATCCCTAAAAGGAATCCTTCCTGGGCTAGAAACCTAGCACGCAAAATTAAACTTGATTCCCATATCTTTAGATCAAGAGACCCCAGGTTCATACATACTCTAGAAATGTTTTTGTTTTTTTGTTCTTGCCGAACTGGTACAAGAAATCTAAAATATCGTAAATCCAATCTTACTTGTGATGCTATCACATTTTGCTTAAGTACTTTCTGTTGGGTTTGTTAAGAGTTACTTAATTTTCTATGTGCTATCAATCTAATTAAAAACAACAAAAAGTTAGCCCATGTCAACACACTTTATTCTATGGGTAAAATGTCGCAAGTGGTAAGCTACCCTCTTATTTAGAAGCATTTCCAGAGTTCCTTTATCTTACCCAGCACTCTAACCTATATGAAATTGGGTATTTTTCTATCTACTGAAATTTACAATGTAATCAGTAGCCTGATTAAATCTAAAGGGTGCTATGTATATAGAGCTTTACGTCTAATATGTGGATATGCTTATGGGTTTGCTTTTACATCTTCCCACAAACTAGCAGAGAGAGTTGGAAACTTCATTAAAAAGACATTTGTCAAGATGTTGAAGGAAAAGGAAAACCCTTCACAGGCTATCTACCTAATTTCCAGCCAATACAGGATTACTCCCAGTAGGAAACCTTTATTGCTTTTACTGGCCTAAGTGATGAGGTTGTTAGCATCTCTTTTAGCTGACTGCTTTGCAATCTAGCTGCTTTCAGTTACTACAAAAGTCATCTTAATATTCACATAGAACTTCTGTCTCACTTCATTTCTTCCAACATTGATCTCACAGTGTCCCGTGGCAAAGCTTATCCTCCTCTCATGAAATTTCAAATGTGTCAGAATTACATAAACAAGGTATTTGGAAAAGGGTTCAACTTTGTCCATATTTAACTCAATCCCATATAGAAGGGGGGATACTCACACATATAGAAGCTTCCATCCTAACTTCTACTTCCTTATATGCCAATAGTCATTGGACCAATGGATTTTAAATGTGCCATTTTATGCAAAAGACATTTCTTTCACTGCTTGCTGGAAGCTTGATGTCCATCCTAACTTCAGCTTTGTTCTGACATCTTAAGAATTTTGGAAATTATGAATGGATAGTCAGTGAACAAAATTCTAAATTGTTTCTTCACAGTTCTTTTGCAAATAAAATGATGAGATCTTGGAAAAAACATTTGTAAGAGGAATGTTTGATATGCAGAAGGATGTCACAAGATCAGGACTTCAAAGTCATAAAGATGAAATAGACTGAAACCCATACACATGAGAAAGTAATCTTTGTTATTGTGGCTGACTGTCACAGTTACCTTCCTCTACATTATCTACTGAAAAGAAATATTTCAGAAACATACCTTTGAAGCAAATAAAATGGTGACTGAGCTACATTCTGATATCTGTTTGTATAGTTTCAACTCTCCAATGTATTTCTATAAGCAATCTACCTAAATACACTAAGGCTTAGAAGCTAATCAAAAAATTATAATTCTGTAAATGCATCAATGGAAAAGGGGGTTACTTATGGTCAAATGCCATTAATCAAATTTTGTATAATAGCATAATTATTTCTGGTTAATTTCTGACTATTATTTTAAATGATACATTCACAGTGGTTAAAAATCTACTAGAAGAAAGTGCTTCCTATAATATAATCCTGAAGGAGACTTCCTCCTTTTGCAGTGTATTTGCAAGAAATATTCAGACAATGCAGAGTGAGACTTTCTCCCTTCCTTGGCTCCCAAACTTGTGACAGAATTTTCACACACATGAAAAATAACATTTTCTCACAGGTTCAATGGTTATTAATATTATTAGACTTTCTCATAGATAGCCAGAATAGCCTTGTCCAGTTATTGAGTATTTTAGAATATTTTTTTCTGTTAATTTTGTTCTGTTTGTGCTCCCATGGGCTATATTCACAAAAATTCTGACTTACTTTTCTAATACACAGGTCGTCATGGAGATGGAGGTTACTGGCCAGTTGATACTAATTTAATTGATAGAAGCACTCTCAATGGTAAGTATATAAATTATATTCTATTGGATTAGTTATACTAATTAAATTTTTCATTCTAAAGTATCTGATGCAAATTTTCTATTGACAAATACCAAGATCCCTGGATTTGGGGGTTTAGTGGGATAATACAAACATGAAGCTATTAAACAAATCAATAGTACATTCTACCAGGAAATGATGCCAATGACAGGTGACAGCTACATAAAGTAATATGAAAGTCCAAGCATAAAATATTTTATCAGTGACACAGGGCTGTTAAATAACTAGACTTTATTTAAACTGTTGTTGTGTAGTTTAATTATCTGTAAAACTGTAATTTTATCAGAAAGAGATGATACACTAAGGCTGATTGAACTAAAACAAATTCAGTTTTACAAATTAAAATTACTGGGACTTTAAATCTGTAGAGTACATTTTACTCTTTAAATTTTCTAGTATTTTATGGCTAGTTTTCCTTTGTGTTGTTAAGTTTAGACATTATTTTGCTTATTCTACTAAAGCTTGCTCAGATAGCTATTGGCTTTTTATGACTAGATAAAAGTAGCACCTGGGTCTTTGTGGAAAGAACATGTTGGTATGAGGAATGCATTCCAGGACCTTGTGCTCAGTTTTGATGAAACAGAATCTTTAGAACAATGAATTAATACCAAATTTCCAAGAGGCCAATTTATGTATAAAATTGTAGCTTAAAAAATGACTGTTTCTGTTGCTTGGTTTGATTTACTGAAAAAAATCAGACATTCAAAATGTAATGATGAACACTTGAGTAATCACCAAGATTAAGATACTAAATATTCAGGATTCAATTGAAATCGCTCTTATGTCTCTGAATTATCTCAGGCTTCTTTCCATTGTCATTTTTTCAGTCTGATATAACTCTTTTCCCAATTTAATGTTTACTACTTATGTATAAATATCTCTAAACAGTTTATTATTTTGCATGTTTATAAATTTATAGAAATATTGCCATATCATATGTACTCTACTGTAACTAACATTCATCTTAGTGTTTTTTAAGATTTATCCATGTGCTTATAAAGAGTTCTCATTCATTTATCTTTGCTGGTATTCATTTTCATGAACTAACACAATTATTTATTTAACCCTTCTAGTAGGTGTTAATGAAACATTTGATTACTAAACAGATAAACTTCTATTTGGATGTTCACTTATTTAAAAATCCAGATAGGAAGCCAAAATTATGATCTGAAAGCTGTTTGCTGAGTATGAAATTAAAATAAAGGGGTGAGCTGAGTAACTATTTCTTTTTGTAGGCTCTTCTAACTGAATGCATCCGTTTTCCCAAAGATAATATATATGTAGAGTAGACCAGATTCTTGAGCCAAATGGTTAGTGCCCTTCCACTCTCGCCAATGATTGACTCAGAAACATATTTTCACTTGTTGACTTTCCTTTTCAATTTGTCTGCCATACCTTTCTCTGCTATTAATGCCTTTTACCTAACCATAGACAAAAGCATTTTCTTACATTTAATTTTATCATATTTCATTCTTATAATCATAATAAATTACCTTATATTTGTCATTTATAAGCAACAGCAATTTCTTGTTCACAGTTCTGGAGGCTGGAAGTCCAAGATAAAGGTGCTAGCAGACTGGTTTATTTGGTGAGGGCTCATTCTTTGCTCCACAAACTGTGCCTTCTACCTTCCCATAGTGGAAAGGGCAACCAGGCTTCCACAGGCCTCTTTAATAAAAGTAGTAACCCCATTCCTGAAGGGTCTCCCCACCTCACATAATCAATACTTCTCCAAGTATTTTTTTTTTAAATCACCAAAGTAGAACTTATTTTCAATATATGAATTAGGGTGGGAGACGACAGACATTTAGAACATAGCAAGCTTCCTGAACATGCTTTCCAACCAAGATTATATCCAGGATGCTCTTTCTGGAATGTTCACAACTTTCTATTATCTCCTTCCTCACTTAAGTAACACTTGCTATAGCTAATGCCTACCTCTGGTAGTCTTTAATGTACAGAACAGGCAGAATGGGAGCTCACAGCATTAAGATAAGAGAGGGACAGGTGACAGAACAATGTCATGTTCCATAAAATAGATTTAGGTAATGAGAGTTTTATCTTATATCTCAACACCAAGCATACTGCATACATTAGAGGACTCACTCAAAAAACACTATTAAGTCTTCATTGAATGCAGGGTGTTTGTAAAGAGCAGTGGGCACACATGGAAAGACACATCATTGCAGGAGCAGTAAACCAAGAAAGGGAATTACTCAAGTAAACATGGCAGAGTATTACACTTTAGGAAAATAAAATATGGTAAGGAAACTACCAGGGATAGGCAGAAGGGTTTTAAAAAAGAAATTGATGCAATTTTGAGGGAAAACATAATTATAGTACTTTTTACCCTAAAGTAGAGAGGTTCTAGTTTTGGAGTCAATGTGGGGAACTAAAAGCTGCCTTCTTTAAAAATCATCCAGCAGTGCCAACTTTGAGATGCTATTTCTACAAGGAGTTTCAAATTGGAATCCTTCTCCAGTTAAAGGCATAACTACAGGAGAGTATTTTTTTCAAGGAATAGAGCACCACAAAATTAAAAAAGGAATCAGTATGAATAATGAGGAAAGAATAATTATCCCTCATTGCTTTCAACTACTACTATACAGTGGATATGAGTTTTAGTGGTGGAGCAGATGTAACCCACAGAGAGAGAAGTGTGTACTGTCAAACTTCATGCTGTAAACAATGCCAGTTTTAGACAGAATTGCCAGATTTAGCAACTGAAAAATATTGAATTATTTGTAATCGCCTATGAATCAGACAAGGAAAAAATTTGCAAAGGATCCCAACGTCAGTATGCACATGCATATCAATATATGTAACTTAAGCAATGAGAAATTACTCAACTTTGCCTGGGCTTCCTGTATTTTTAGATGCTAAATCTGGCAGTCTCAGTTTGGGATCAAGTTTATACATTTAGAGTTGACTATTTCAATTTGGCCTTCAAAATAAAATGAACCTTGGGTTACAAAGAATGCCCAGCTAAATTTGACGTGAACACATAAGTCAACAGACTTTCCTTTTCAAAGGAGATGAAAATAATAACAGTAATTGAGAGAAATGGTTGTCACTGTAGTTATTTTTTACCCCTTAGGAGTCCTAGTGAGTGTAATTCCATAATTAAATTTGATTTGATAAACATTTTCTCACAGAAGAAGTTCCTAAAGATAAAATAAGCTAATGGCATCCAGTGGTTCAGGCTACTTTATGTAAATGATTGTCATTGTCCCCCCCAATTTTGACATCACTTCTTGATGCTTTAGGGATTTCATGTTAAGTGAGTAGAAGGAATAAAGCACCTGACTGGATTAAGAAGCTATTAGATTGGCTGATTACTGTGAATTGGTGATCTCAACATGATGGGGAAAAGGCAAATTTGACTTCTTTACTGTTCATCTACCAACAGATAAATGAGGCTGAATGTGTAATTTGACTGTAGTTCCAGCTACTACAAGAAAATTAGCAAAATTCTCTGAAAACTGAGCTTCCTAATTAAAATTCTGATGATGTCTTAAGCTTTCAGAAAGACATGTATTTTCCAATTAGATGTACAAGTAGTGAGTCCCCCACCAATGACAAAACTCCAACTGCAATTGAATATCACCCTTACAAAGTATGATGTATCAACAAAAACATCCTAAAGTTTGAGTTCTTAAAAGCATATACAATGGAATTTCATTCATCTTCCTTAGAATGACAGAATTAGAGATTTCCTGGTTCTCTTTATACTTTCTCAGTTCATTGTTTAAAGCATTATAATATAATAAAAGCTTATTGTCAGGATACACAGGACAACTGCAAATGAATTTAGACCCTACTAATTAATTACTTTCTTTATTAACATGCTATTCATTTAAAAATGCACAGAAGTGAGGTGGCATTGGAAGGTGACACAAACAATGCATACACATGTAAGTCAATGTAAAACTGGTAAAATAAAAGGAGAAAATAAAAAATAAAAATAAAAATGCACTTTTGGAATTCAAATAAAGAAAAATAAGATGTAGCTCATTTCTATTCTAGTAGTTGGTATCCCTTAATTAAATTGTAGAAACTGAAGAGGCTTCCTAAATATTTTCTGATGACAGGTAGAATCAAAGCTAACATTGATGTTCTGGTAGTATTTTACTTTTATGATGCATTCAGTTTTAGATTATGGTCAGCATTCTTAACACTGACAAATCTTCAACATCTGAAAATAAATTTTGCAGCTTATATTTATATGAATGACAACAATGATAAAAATTACTTGAAGTTTTTCCTGTTGAAAGGTATTGATTTCCTTTTGTTGATAGTACTGCCTATACATTACAAAATCAACTTAGAAAATTTTAAGGTTTACAAACTCTACTGAATACTATTTTCTTGAACTCAACTTTTTAAAACATAGTTAAGCTTGACATATTTTAACATGTTTTTGATACCTCATTATTAATCAAGCATCATATTTTACTCAAAATTGTGTTGGGTGATCTTTAAAACTTGACATACATAGTGCATGTAATATAAAAGCCCATGGTTGCCTTTTATGTTTGAAAAGCTGTTTTTTTTTCAGATTCAAAAACATTTAGCCAAAATAAACGTGTACATAGAGTCCTTTTCATGTTTCTGTGAAATAATTATTCTAAGGTTGGTAAAGTATTAGAGGACACTCAACAGTATACTTAGAAGACATCTTAATGCCATGGGAAGGCCCAGTAAGAAAGTTTCACAACTGTCCCCCAAATGGAAAGATAATTAGAGGTACTCCCACTTCTGGGACCCAGCATAGCGCTTGCAAGAGGTTGTGCTCACCTCTCACCCATGCAATATCTACCCCACAGAATTTTAAGGGATCCAAGCTAACCTCAAACCCCAGATTCTAGAACTGACTTTTTTAGGGATTTCTGCTGTATAATTAATTGAGTCATTTAAACTGTTTGGATTCCAATTTCATGTCTGAATGCAGATATTGCTGA